GCAGGTGGCGTCGCACAGCAAGACGTGCAGCAGCATCGCGAGTGGCCCACTGGGAGCGAACAGTGGGGTCCGCATCAGCAGCAGGGGCAGGAGAGGCGCCAGAGGTGAGGTCAAAGAGGGAGAGACCGTCTGCCCTATCGCACTGTAGGAAAAGCTGCAAGTCATCTACCCAAACCTCAAAGTCAATGGCTCGACCCTCAGCGTCAAAAGCGAGAACACTGGGGGTAGCCATGACAGCAGTAGACTAGCAGTACCAACTGTAGGACAGGGGCAGTGCAGTGACAGAAGCGCTGCTCTCACCGGATAGGGCGGGTCGGGCAGCTCAGCAGTACAGCAACACGGCATCACGGCTGCTCGGAAGGCACAGCAGCAACTGCGGCTCCGTGGTGCCAGCGGCTCGGCTTCGCAGGCGGCCCGGGCGGCTCGGGCGGCTCGGACGGTTCGGGCGGCTCGGGCGGCTCGGGCTGGTCGGGCGGCTCGGGCGGCTCAGGAGAGTCGGGCGGCTCGGGCGGCTCGGGCAGCTGGGGCAGGTCGGGCGACACGAGCGGCTCGGGCGGTTCGGGCGGCTCGGGCGGCGCGGGCGGTGTAGGGCGGCAGGGCCGCTGGTGAAAGGGGCGGCGGGGCCGCTGAGAAGGGCGGCGGGGCCGTAGTAGAAGGGCGACAGGGCCGCTGAGTAGGGCGGCGGGGCCGCTGAGAAGGGCGGCGGGGCCGCAGTGGAAGGGCGGCAGGGCCGCAGTAGAAGGGCAGCGGGGCCGCTGATTAGGGCGGCGGGGCCGCTGAGTAGGGTGGCGGGGCCGCTGAGTAGGGCGGCGGGGCCGCTGAGTAGAAGGGCGGCGGGGCTGCTGAGTAGGGCGGCGGGGCCGCAGCGAGGGAGGCAGCGGGGCCGCAGCGAATGGCGGCGGGGCCGCTGAGACGGGTGGCGGGGCCGCAATGTGGGGCGACGGGCGGCGGGGCCGCGACGTAGGGCAGGGCCCGCTGAGAAGGGTGGCGGGGCCGCTGAGACGGGCGGCGGGGCCGCACTAAAGGGTGGCGGGGCCGCTAGGGGAAGGGGCCGCTAGGGCGATATGGCCGCTAGGGCGTAGGGGCCGCTAGGGCGGCTCGACGAGGTGAGAGCACGGAGCGCGACTCGGGCAGAGCGCGCTTCGGGCAGGAAAAAAAATGAAACTCGATGTGGTGGGCCCTAGGCACAGTTCCCACAGGGGAACCTGCTCGATACCATGAGGAAAGTAGAACGAGAATGAATGAACTATGAATGGAGTGATACAAATATGCAACCCTAGAAATGTGTACCCCATATAGGCTACCCCACTATAGCCTACACAATATTATAATTTGACAGCTTGTGCATAGGTTTGATCACAGGCTTGTGCATAGGCTTGGTCACATGCTTGGTCACAAGCTTGTGCATAAGATTGGTCACAGGCCCGGTCAATGGCTTGGGCGCAGGCTTGGGCAGGGGGGCCCAGCAGTGGAGAATCCATTGCTGAGGCCGGCCGCTTCCGCAGATTCACAAGCGCACCAAGGCTGGTGGTGGCTGTTACGGGTTCTGACGCACACACAGCTGGGTACCTTTGCATCGACTTGGGATTCACTGCAGGTAGCCGTGCGTCTATGGCAGAGGGTAGCTGCACGTCATGGCCGGTGGCTGCTAGGGGTTCTAAGGCACACTCAGCTAAGCACCTTTGCGTCGACTCGGAACTCACTGCAGGCAGCTGTGCGTCCAAGGCAGAGGGCAGCCAATTCTGCCATTTCACTTGCGTGTTACGGCGGATGGCTGTTAGAGGTTCTGAGGCACACATGGTTGGGTGGGGGGATTGAGGGAGAGTGAGAGGGAGAGCGGGAGGGAAAATTGGAGGGAAAGTGGGAGCGAGAGTGGAGAGCAGAGTGTTAGAGAGAGTGGGAGGGAGGGTGGAGGGGAGATCATGAGGGAGAGTAGAAGGGAGAGTGGAAGGCAGAGTGTAAGGGAGAGTGGAGGGGAGAGCGGAAGGGAGAGTGGAAGGCAGAGTAGAAGGGAGAGTGGAGGGGAGAGTGGAAGGGAGAGTGGAGGGGAGAGTGGAAGGGAGAGTGGAAGGGAGAGTGGAAGAGAGAGTGGCAGGGAGAGTGGCAGGGAGAGTGGAAGGGAGGGTGGCTGGGAGAGTGGAAGGGAGGGTGGCTAGGAGATTCGCAAAGGACTCAAGCATGGCTGAGGCAGTTTGCTCTACACCAGTGTTGGTGCATGCTCTGCTGAATCTCTGTATGAAAGAATCGGTCAGCGGCAGCAACAGCGTCGTCTCTTGTTCCATCTACTCTGACAGCTGCTCTTGCTCTTGCTGATGCCGCCGCTGCTACTGTTGTTTCTGCTCCTAGTGGTAGTGGTGGTGGCGGTGCTGCTGCTGCCGCTACTGCTGCTGCTGCTGCCACAGTTGCTGCCACAGTTTCTGCAGCACTATCACATCCTGCTGCGTATTCAACCCAATAACATCAAATGCAGCACAGTAGTTAGTCAAAGCAGCGCTTGGCCCAGACCCCATTGATGTTGCCAACCTCGCATTTGAAAGGGGTCATGCGCCGGCCCTCCCTCCCCATCGTTATGCAAATCACGACAGAAATTCTCCCCATTGCCCACCACCACACCACCTGCGCTCTGCTCCTCCTCAACCCCCCCAATCTCTCTAAATTCCTGTGGAAGTCCCACGTCATTGGTAGTGCGACACAGTGACAGCTCTTGAAGGCCTTGCTTCATAGGCGGAATTGACCCTTGCAGCAGAGAGTACATCTCATCCGTTGGATCTACTTCATCATCGAACAATTGACGGCTATCATCTATTCCCAGAATCTGACAGCTAAGAGCATCAGGCCGCATAGGAGGTAACACTAGGTTGGCTGGCAGGGAAGACCTTGGGGAGAATTCCCCTGCAGGCATGCAACTATTTTTGAGTAACAGCTCCTCCTGATAGGGAGCGTGCAAAATGACTGCTGCTGAGGCCCAGTCTGCACAATCAATAGCATCATCAGCAGCACCAGTAGAAACAACACCACCATGAGCACCACCAGCAGCAGCTGAACCAGCTGCACCAGCACCATAATCAGCACCACAATCAGCACCATCATCAGCGACAGCACCAGCCGCACCAGTACCAGCACCCGTGCCAATATCACTAACAGCAGCAACAGCAGCAGCTGCACCAGCATTCAGAGGTGCAGCAGCAGCAGCAGCAGCAGCTGCTGCTCTCACTTCCATGCTCTCATTCTGCAATGCTGCCACCAGGACAATACTTTGTGAAACCGCAAGGTTCGTATGACAGCTGGTAGCGTGGCCAGTGGGACGGTCGGCAGGCTGGAAAATAGGGTGCTTGCTAGTGTGATTGATAGGGAAGTCAGTAAAGCGCTTCTTCGACCGCTTGGTGGGGAGAGTGGCGGAGAGAAAGTGGCGATTGAGCGGGCGGGCTCGTCTGGAAGGGAAGGGGTGGTTGTGGGTGCGGTTGCTGTAGGAGACTTGGATGGAGTCTGGAGAGAGAGGCTCCGAGCTATTGCGGCAGTTGATGTCAACAGTTTTCTTAACCAGGCAGCGTGGGATGGCTTTGTAGCAACTGCACCTGTAGTAACACCTGATGATGCCAAAGGGGGGAGAGGGAAGGAGAGCGGTAAGAGATGGTAAATTCCAGAGCTCAGCAATTGTAGTAGCACCTGTGATGCAGGGACACGAGTTACGGAGAGTACAAAGCGGACCACTCAACCCGGGTTTGAGTTAAGTACTCGCACAAAGCTGCCACCTTAGGATGGGTAAGATGTGACTCACAATAACTGTATGTCCTGCATCTGTCCTCGGAGGCTCTTTCTAAACAAGAACGTAAGCCCAATCCCAAAACTGTCTAGGAAGAATCGTGTACAGCAGAAAATGTGACCCAACTGCATCCTACCAGACCGTTTCGGAAAGACAAAAACAGCACAGCATCGTGCTACAAAAAAACAATGCACTTGAGACCGCCTTTGTGACAAGATTCAGCACTCACATGAAAAACCTGTCATCTGTTGACAATGGACAATGGAAAGCTGATCTACACAGTCAACCGAAGTTAAGGCAAGACCGACATGGAAGTAGAAGGTCCGACCTTCGGGTCTGCAGGGAGAGGTTTGCAGGGCCTTCGGGTCCTGGAAAAGCCATTTCCAGACCCAACAAAAATACTCCTTGCAGATTCCAATGCGTGCTTTACGCAGCGTCCTTTGGGTCCGGAAAGACCCCAAAAAACACTATCAGTGCTTGAGACAACACAAAGTCAATGGGAGACAGGTCAGGCTGACCTGGTGGCGTTGGAGCGCTGCACTTGCTTCTGGCCGTACTTGAGCCAGCTGTGCCCATCGGAGCCCACCATCCACACCACCGTCTCCTCCCACCCTGGCCGTCCCCAGTCCTGCTCGCACGCCTCCGGGCTGCCCGACTCATTCCCAGAGAAGTGCTAGCTACTAGCCGCCTCCGCCCGCTTAGAGAGCGGACGGCTGGACGTTTCCTTCGTCACAAAGAAATTGGCGCCCTTCTGGAGCCACAACTGTAGGTATGCCAGGGTATGTTGGGGGGGGGGGGGGGGGGGCATCTCAATTGTATGCCACGGCAGTCCCAAATCAATGTCGAAGCATTGGCCGCACTCTCCCACACATCGCATGTATTGCAGTTGAGGAAACTCCCCGCTTTCCAGGTAGTCAAGGATTCATGTACTCGGGCTTTTTTATAACAGCTCTAATATTATTACATCTTGTAGTACTCAGAGAGCACAGGCATTAGAACGCCATAAACGCAAATTATAGTCATATATGCCAGAACGATTCTACTATACTAACTGGCACGGCATAGCAAGAAGAACGGCTCTAAAAGAAAAACATGTGCCTGCTCACAAGCCTCAACACACGAGAGAGAGTTTAGAGCAGCACCAAAGCTCGATCCAGCCTGCAACGCCGGTGAGCTGCATGTGTCTGAGTCGGCCGCTGCATTGGTGATGGGCAGCGCACTCCAGTGTGATCCCCTTCTACATCACTTCCTGATTCACCAAATAGGCCCACTTGTTCAGGAACCTCACGTCCTTCTGCTCGAATGAAGGGACGCAGTGCACGGCGCGCTTGAGCCGGTCGATGGGGACGACAGCCAGCCCGCGATACAGCGATGGCGGGCCAAGCACCTCGCAGCCCGTGCACTCATCAAGCCCCTGTTGGCTCAGCCGCTGCAGCACAGCCACCTCTGCAGGCTCGTAGCTGCTGTTGTCCAGCGGCCTCTTTGCATCCAGCAGCAGGATCAGGCGGCCGTACATGGTACGGCCAGCAGAGGACAGGTACTCCACGCAGGAGAAGGCCGTGTGGCCATGCAGAGATGCAGCGACCCGTGCGTAGTGGGGCCAGATGTGCCCATAGTCAGTGGGGAAGGCCGGCAGCGCCACCGGCGTGTGCGCCTGTGGTTCACGGGTTCAGCGGCAAGCAGACGGAGGTTAGCCATCAATATAAGGCTGGTTGCTTGTAGCATGGAGCGCAGGGGCGGAGGGGGGGGTGGGCAAAGGCCCTTCTAGAGTGAGCAGAGTGCCTATTCATGACAGATTTTGGGGGCGCAGGGCACGCATGTGATATGCTGGAAACATATAGGATACCAGGGTCCAGCAAACAGCCATATATCGTTGGTACCAAGCGGCACATACCCACGCCGGAAACGGCCTCAGCCCAGCGTTGCGCATCGCGGTATCATAGTAGTACAGCAGGCCGCCCACCGCCAGGTTGATGTCCTCAAAGACTGATGCCGCGCTGCTCTCGTGGTCGGGGCCGTGCAGTCAAGGACCTTCGCGCGAGCGTCAGTTGTGGGGTGCCCGTTGCGATCCCCTGTGCGCAATTGCATCCACGTGTAATGAGCAATAGGGTCAGGCGCACATCAACCCAAAACTAAAATCAACATAGGTTTAGCAGGACGAGGCGCAGCTACCACTACTTGAGTTACACACCTGGGTCAGCGCGGTCTGGTTGCGCCTGCGTGCTGGTGACAAAATTAGAAGGAAGAAAGAGGAATGAACTAGCAGAAATGGGGATACAAATAGCAAACCCTAGAAGGGTTGTACTCGCTATAGAGCACCCCACTACAGGCTAGAACATAAGAATAATATTCTGACAGCTGGGAGAGCAGAGGTCAGCTGGCCCATCGCAGAAGCGCGCACGTTGTGAGCGGCGATGGCCTGCAGAGGTTGGCGGTGATTGGAGGTTCTGTAGGGCAGCTTGCACGTGCGGATGTGTGTGTTCTCGTACACTGCCGCGGAGTACTCCTGTGGGAGTCCACCTCTCCTGAAAGCGTCCGGCACGTGGGTCAGAAGGTGGACCTTTATCAGGTTCTACCCATCGCCCTCGCACGGGAGCACCTCCTCGATCGTCTGAACCATCCTGCTGACACAAATACACTCAGTTCAGAATGACTGAGCTGTAACGAGGCCGCGCAAACGCACAAACTCAAGCTTTACCTCTTTGTGGTTTCTTCAAAGTCACCGACCGACGTATCCGAGTGACATGGAGCTCTCACGTGGGACTCGTGCTACTGGAGCACCGTGACCAGCGCCAGCCTGGACACGACATCCGCCTCGCCCTCGATTGCAAACGGCGCAAGCTGTAATATTGCAGGTATCCATGTCAGACCAGCATATCACACGACTGTGTATAACCCCACACGCGAGTACATGCGTTGTGCATAAAGAGAGCGTGTTGACTCATCATCAGCGCCGATGCATGCTCGCTTGCTGTGAAGTTGGCGCCACTGGCCCAGTAGCTGCCAGAGCCTGGAGAGCGAACACCTGCCAAGCGAGCGTCGGGGTACATCTGCTTCATGCGCCTGCCACCATAGCGTCCATATCGTACGTACTCAATCTTTGTGTAAACAAAAATACATACACAACAAGGAAACACCAGGCATGTTCCCCTCGGTACTTACTCATCCTTGCGCCCGGCGCTCATGGGGCTGCCGCGCAAGACACTTCGGATGTACACCCAGAAGCCGATGTATATTGCGTGCAGAATATCGGGCATCTGGGAGAGGTACGTGTTGCCCCACACGGTGCGGCTGAAGTTGAAGGCCCACAGGAAGCTCTGCCGCGTTTGTGAGGGGATGGGGATGAGCGAACAGCGAACACTACCCACCAGGGTCAGACGGAAGGGACAACAAGATACACAATACACTCGGTGGTGTACAGTAGGATTGACTTATCGGGACAGGAATGGTCGAGTGCTTCTTCGCCTCGTTGAGATCGCGCAGCAGAGCTTCCTCATCTTCCACCGTACGGTGCTTGGCCGGTTCGCGGTCCATGTCTCGAAGGTTGTCCCGCGCCTCGCAGCAGAGAGAGCATGGCATCACAGAGTCGAGCTCTTGCGTGCAGGAGACCTTGCAGGTCTCGGGATAGTCGGCCATGTACGAGAACAGCAAGGGTAGGAAGAAGTGTTCCTCCCCGTTCGGGTCCTTGGCTGACAGTCCACTACCCAGGTGGGGGGGTGTCGGCACAACGTAACTGACGGATGCAACAGAGAAGACATGATTCGCACATGGCGCGACCGAGTGGTACTTACGTGTGGCTCGCGACGATGAGGTCCGCGAGTACGATTTTCATGGCGGCCTGGAACAGTTCCACCTTCTATGCGGGTGTCATGTGCGCCGGCGGAAACGGGAGCATTGCCAGGAGCAGTTTCCCACAGTCCATCCACTGCCTCCGCAGCGGGATGTTTGCGATGGAGAGGTACACCACCCACACTCTCGTGCGCTCGTCACCGCTCAGAATCGTGGCGTCGCTCGAGAGGATGAGTGGAACAACCACAGCGCCTGCACCATACTCCATTTCTGCTGCCACTTGAGCGTGCTCCCAGAACGACGCGGTTTCGGGCGTTGTGTAGACCCGTCCCGCAGCACTGTTCACCTGCCTTGGCCGCAGCACGAACCCATCCGCGTTTTCCGGGTTCCCGAGAATCTCGATTAAAGCCTGCGTGCATCCACAGATGTCTAGTTACACCTGGGTTTCGGCAAAATATCACTGAAGACATGTCAGAGGCGAGCTTACCTCTCTCCCATTGGCTCGTATCACTTCGAACTCGCCTTCCCATCCGGGAACGGTGAACGAGATGGTGTCGTACTGTCGCTGAGACATGAGCAGCGCCATGCCGAACCGTATAACCGCGTAGAGAGTTCGCCAGTGTCGAATGAGCTCCAGGTCCAGACGCTCGTCTTGCAGCAGGTTGAGAAGCCACACAGTACTCTCATTGGAGAGCCCGGCGCCGTCGTTGCAGCCCACAATGAAGCGGAACACCTCCATGAGGGTGTTGAAGTTATCCTTAGGGTCGGAAGGTGCCCTCCGGAGGACTTTCATCGTCACCTATTGCCACGGTAACGTCTCCATCCTCGTCAGAAGAAGGATGATCCTCCTCGTCTGACTCAACGTCCTTGTCGTCAGAGTCCTAAAGGGCAGAGCATGGCCACCATAAAACGTGGGTACAGGTGCAGGAGCCGTACTACCCGCATGCTCGATAACAGCGAAATATGCGCTTACCCTAGTTGTTCCATCAGCCTGCAACGCGACCTCGTCGTCCGAGTTAAGCTCTGACATTTCATCGTCAGTGAGCTGCGCAGGGTCTGGATCGTCGCCCGCACCGCCCGCAGTGGCGCCATATCCAGGAGTTGACCTTAAAAAACGCGAAGCCCGCGCTATGCAGACTTCCTTCCGACGCTTATGTGAAAACAACGCCGTGCGAGAGCTGTAGCGGTGCCTACAACACTCACTGGCGTACAAGGCCGATTGCCAGGGCATTTGAAACCCCAGGAGAAGGATTGCATGAGGATACCGAGGTTGTCGTTGGTGAGGATGTGCCCTTGGCGAGACAGTACCATGTTCTTCTAACGCGTGATGTACCAGATTTATAATTCATCCTATGAACTACGTAGGCATGGCTTTGGTACGACAAGTATGTGAAGAGCAGAGTGTAGGGCTCCTTCATAGGATATCGAAACGAATCCCGATTTGTGACAAGCTTGCGTGACATTGGTCACCGAATTTTCCAACCAGGACGGGGGGCCGAACTCCCTAGGATGCCGTCAGCCCTTTGACTACGATTGGCCGGTAACGAGATGAGGCGGATCTCCCCAACGCATGCCGGCTAATAGAAGCATGACAATGACACGGATAGCCTGGCCAAAGACGCTGACTTGGATAGGTGTGAGAGCGAGGGTTGCGAAACAGACCAACCGCGATACATTACCGTGCCCATGCGTTTTCGAGCATTTCGCCATTTCGTCGAAAATCCAAGCCGCTATTACCCAAATGCAAGAGCTGCAATGTCAATGCCAAGTCCAGGCAATGTCTCTCATTTTGTCAGACTTTCGCAAAATTGCAGTGTCGCTTATTCTGGACATGGCGTCCGAGATTCCCAAAGGTGCTGGTACGGGAGGACGTGGTTGGCGCAGCGCAAGGGATGAAAGTCGCCGATATGAATCAACAAGATACGCCGGGCCCAGGTGGCCAAGGGAGCGCAACTGTCACACCCGCCCGCCTTCTGTGGCTGTCCTTGTTCGCGACTTCCCGGAGGTTGCGGCAGTGCTGATGCAACAAGAATTCACTCGCATCATCGATAATGGTGACGATTCATCGCCGCGTAAGCTGACGAGCAGCGTCAAACATCTGGTGCTGTCCCGTCATATCCGTGCTGCTACTCAGAGGGGTGAATCCGTAGATGCGCTACGAGCTGCACGAGGCGGCGGACACGGTGTTTCGCTGTCCTTCATCGACAACGCATGCATTCTGGCCGTGTTGCGCGATGCTCGTGACGCCGCAGCCGTCCACTCGCTGGCTGATGCGTTCTTGCGCGTGGTTCGAGGTGAAAACCGGAAGGTTAATTACAACGCGACTTGTCTACACGATCTTGAATCGGCACGGCCGATAGTGCATGATTATCAAACCTACCTCATGCACTTCGCAATGAGCGAAGGGTTGGTGGTAAGTATCTCACCTCGTCATTTTACGGCATATATGTCGAGCGCCTCTGACACATCCTTATGTGTACTTGTGCAGCTCGAGAATGGTCGCTACAACTTCTATCGCGCAGAGGATGCAAGGCGCGTCTAGTGTCAATTTAAGATAAAACAAGCTCTACCACTACCGTCAATTTTCACATGTTGGCGGCTCGGACGGCATTGGCGCAGGCATTTTGGCGCACGCACTGGGCGTGCTTGCCTGGTGGGACATTCCAGCCGTAGATAGGTTGTTTTGGGTAGGGAACATGGGGAAGAACATGTGCGTGTATCCATGGGACATTCCATCAGGCGTAACAGAGCTGCCATTGTATCGACTAGTGTATCAGGACTACGACCTTAATCGCCCTAATGATGATCTGCCAGATTTTTACCTCAGAGCTAGACAGGGAAAGCTCAGACTTGTGTGTTTCATGTGCTAGCTTATTACTTCGGATTCCAGTGTGTGTTTGTCCGCGCCTGTAAAAACGGTTTTATTACTCAGTCGTATGGCATGCATGGAATGCGAACACTCTACCCTTGGCCGCCGGCAAAGAACGGGACAATCGCAGGCACGACATTCTTCACCTATCCTCACTCTTTGGTCTACCGCGCCTTGCCGGTAGGCCATGCCGGATTGGCTGCTTACACGGCGTTCAAGCCGTATGGCATGATCGGACCCCATCTGACGCGTCAAAATGTATGCTGAGCACACGCGTGGGGACGACGCGCATTTCTTTCCCGCGCAATCTCCTATCCAACCGGCAATCATAGCTGGGTGACATCATTGCGTCTGCACGGGGTTTATTTTTCTTGGCTGTCAAAGATATTCTCACATGGCGTCCATGATGAATGACGTAGACAGCGTCCGGCTTCCCCATTGGCGCGATAGGATATTTTGCAGAGATGACGCTGACAGCTAGATGCGGGATGTCAGGCCGCAACATTATCCAAAAGACGCCCCAACGAAGGATGTATTATTATATTAGGGAACCATTGTATTACACTTTCACAAGTTACGGTACCACTACTACTCGGACCCACCACAGTTCATCATGGACCCTGCACCGTCTCTGTACTCACCTCTCAGGCGCTCTGGCAGGAGCAATGCCGGCGTGCGGAACTCCACTGACGACATGGTGTACTATGGCCGTGGAACGCAATCCCCCCGTGCTGACGGGCGTCCGGGTTGCGCTCCATCTGCCTCTGAAGACACGATGCCTGTCAACGAGTCGCGTGCGGAAACAGAGACCGAGTACCTCCAGTGGGCAGACCGCCAGGACGACCGCCTGGATGTGGATGACGATGACGACGTGGAGGATACCTGGATGCCAGAAGAAGAACCTGTTGATGAGGAGGTGGAAGGTAAACAATTTATTGGCTTCCTTGCTTGTGCGTGCGTGTTACCGTTTTGTGCCAGGTCGGTATCCTTTGCGCTGATTCGGCTGTGGCCGTTTACCCTCTCGTGCTGCACCTGATGGGCGCGAGCACCGCCCGCTGTCAGAGGTGATGGCGCCCTTGAGCCAGGCAACTGCAGGCGAGCAACATCCGCGTGGGCGAGGGCAGACTACCAACCGTCGCACTGCTAGCACCACCAACGCGCCAACGGCGGCTGATGTCTCGATCGACGTTGCGATCACCGCCCGGATCGCGGAGCAGGAACGTCGTATTCACGAGCTGAACCAGACCATTACCGGGCTCGAGGGGAATTGCGGGCCGGTCAGGTACCCTTCAAGTCCACGTGTCACGCCTCGGGCCGTTTGCGCACGTGAAGCGCCATTGGACGAGCCCGCACCAGTGCGCCAGCGCACAGCTGCGGCCCGCGCCGCCGGGCGGCAAGCAGAGGTAACTGGCAAGGCAAGGGCGCCGATGGTGGAGGCGGCACTTGCCAGGGAGATTCGACGTGCCAACTGTCAAACTTATATGCTATAGTCTGTGTAGGTTGTAGTGGGGTAGACTATATGGGGTACAACATTTCTAGGTTTTCCTACTTGTACCCACCTGCTTGCTAGTTCATCCATTCCTCACTCTTCACATGGTATAGAGCAGGTTCCCTCGTGGGAACGCTTCTCAGGGCCCCCCACCTAATTCGACCTTTTTTTTCCTGCCCGAGGCGCGCCCCGTAGGCCGCCCTCACGTCGCGCCCTCCTAGAGGCCCCTTGCGCCACCCTTAGCGGCCCCGTCGCCGTCCTTTCCGGCCCCGTCGCCGCCCCTCTAGACCCCTCGCGGCCCCTTCACGGCCCCGTCGCCACAGCTCTTGGCCCCGTCGCCGCCCCTCTAGGCCCACCGCGGCCCCTTCGCGGCCCCGTCGGCGCCCCTAGCGGCCCCGTCGCCGCCCCTCTAGGCCCCTCGCGGCCCCTTCGCGGCCCCGTCGCCGCCGCTCTAGGCCCCGTCGCTGCCCCTCTAGGCCCCTCGCGGCCCTCTTCACGGCCCCGTCGCCGCCACTTGCGGCCCCGTCGCCGCCCCCTCTAGGCCCCTTATGGCCCCTTCGCGGCCTCGTCACCGCCCCTCTAGGCCCCTTGCGGCCCCTCTGCGGCCCCGTCGCCGCCCCTAGCGGCCCCGTCGCCGCCCCTGGAGGCCCTGTCGCCGCCCTTCGAGGCCACCTTGCCGCCCTTAGCGGCCCCGTCGCCGCCCCTAGTGGCCCCATCCCCGCCTCTGCCGGCCCCGTCGCCGCCTCTGCTGGCCCCTTCGCGACCTCTACCAGCCCCGTCGCCGCCTCTACCGGCCCCTTCACCGCTAAGCCGCCTAGCAGCTGAGCAGCCGAGCCACCAAGCCGCCGAGCCGCCCACCAACTGAGCCGCCCAACAGCCGAGCCGCCGAGGCACCCAGCAGCCGAGCCGCCGAGCCGCCCTGCCGTCGAGCCGCTACTGTTCCTACCGGCGCGCCCCGGCCCTACTTACTCGAACTGGTGAGATCACTCCCTGCTAGGCCACTGCAATCATGGCTACCCTCAATGTCCTTACCTTTGATGCTGAGGGTCGTGCTGTTGACTTTGAGGTCTGGGTCGATGACCTCCAGCTGTTCCTACAGTGCGATAGGGCAGACGGACTCTCCCTGTTTGATCTCACCTCTAGTGCCTCTCCTGCCCCGCCTGCTACTGCTGACAGCACTGTTCGCTCACAGTAGGCCACACGCGATGCTGCTGCCCGCCTTGCTGTGCGTCGCCGCTTACCGACCACTGAGCGTACGCACTTTAGCCAGTACAAGAGTGCTAAGACCTTGTACGACGCTGTAGTTGCACAAAACTCTTCCCCTGCCACTGCTGCGCTTAGCCGCCTCATGTTGCCGTACCTGTTCTCTAACCTTGCTGCCTTTCCCACAGTCGCTGACCTCATTACGCACCTTTGCATTAGCGACACTCGCTAC